GGTACGTGAGAGAGCCTAAGGTTTTTTTTTATACATTCATCCGTTTCAAAATAATTCATTAGAAATCGATGATAAACTATCCCGAAATCATGATAAACCATCCAAAATAAATAATAACGCGCCTAAAAGCATGATATTTGATCCAAATATGATTCATGAATAATCGCTTGATGACAAATTTACAAAAAGATTTAGCCATTTTCGTGGATAATTTTTTTTGTTTTGTTTTTAAGAAATAGTAAATCTAGTGTGTTTTCTTCGTAGATGTACGCCTACATTGCTCTACAAAGCATCAAAAACCGTGTCACTAACTTGAAAACAAACATATTATAATTGACAACGTCCTTTTAGTGCAGATGCAAAATACTCAAGTATGACGAAGGACTGTAGATCTTTTTATTTCTCATAATTAAGATTATGAAGTATGTAACAGCCTACAGGTTTGCCAGGTAATCAGCACGTCGGCGGGCCTCCTGACGCGCTGTCAGCGGCATGCGCTCACGCCATGACGCCAACGATATTCCTTTCTTCTTCCGGATGTAGTAGGCTTTACTAGCTAGACGCCTGGCAATTTTGCGTGCCTCTTCGCGAGCTGCTACAGATCGCTTGTCACAAGGATTCTTTCGCGCTAAATGTTTCTTGAGTCCTTGGTGAGTCTTTAAGGTCCTTTTACACTTGTAGCACGTAGTTGAGGCCTTCTTTTTAGGACGGCCAACCTTCTTTGGTGGTGGCTGGGGTATGTCACCTTCTTCCCGTTGCGTAGCGCTGGACCCATCTTGAATTCCGCCGCCGATTACAGAATGAACTCACAGTGCATACTAGTTGGCCAATTGGTCTCAAACATTTAAGTACTGAAATCTCAATCAATCTTTTCTGCGATTTTTCCCTTAAACCTACTCCTAAAAAATGAGTGGGTCGTTTTCGGAAATTACCTGGGAACATCTGAGTGGATACCCACTCAGATAAGAAAATTCCTCCCTAAATGTCCTCAATTAGTGTCATCGATACTAATTCGTGCAAGTTGTTTATCATTTCGCCAACGTTCCCGTCCAGGAATACACTTTATCAGTCCCCACCTCTTCAGTATCACTTTTACCACTTCCACTTGCATCACTATCTACCGACACACCAATCGCAGCCTTGCCATCAAAGTCGTCAGGGTACTTCTTGATAATTTCCTGGAGATGAGGGAAAAGTTACTTTGAGTTCCACAATCCCACATCTACGTTCTTGTTCCGGTAAGCGTTCACCTCACAAACGCACTCAGCATTTTTACCTGGATTTTGAGCTTTTCTGACCGTGGCATTCTAGACATTACCAGCCCGAGTTTCTTTTTGTAATAAACGCTCTGGCTTCCAACTTACTAAAACTTTTATTGACATATGAAACTATTCTGGACAAATACATAACCCTTGTCTTGTACTTCATCCACCGTTTATTTAACTTACCATATTACCACAAATCGTAGATCGCCCTAGCCGATAAATCCAACCAACTCTGGTGCCTCCTTGGCTTTAGCCGTTTGTTCCAGCTTCCTGCCACCAGACACTCCTTCCGCAATATAAAATCAACACCCAACCACCTACCAGTTTGAGCATCATGGCTGACCTCATCCTGACCGCACCTGCGCCGGCTCAAGCCTTCTCGATCAGACAAATTGCTAAGTTCTACTTCTCTCCATTCCTGGATGAGGAGGGCGAGACCACCGGCTTCAAGCAGTGCAAGGCGTGCGGCAAGTGCCGCAAGCACACGGCGGGCATGAGATACACCAATCTGATGTCTCATGTACGCTAGGTGCACCCATAGTTCGAGGAGGAGATGCGCGACGTACCGGCACGCTGATGCCATGGGTGAGCAAGAAAGCGTCGAACCCGTACGGCTGGTTGCGCTGGATCATTACTAGCAACCTCCCCTTTTCGTTCTGCGAGTCGCAGGAGACTCGGTAAGTGGCTACCTATTGCATTTATTAACTTGTAATCTAACTAATTGTTGTGTTTTTTGTACAGATTTACAAATCTCAGTCCCATCTCTGCGGAATCGCATTCGTCAACAATGCAGCGGATCACTCGGACCGTCTAATGCTCGGTTGCAGCCGAGATTCCTGGCAAGTTCGGGCTGATGCTGGATGGCTGGGGCCATGAAACGGAGCATTTCCTGGCGTTGTTCGCCTGCTACGACATTACTGGCGGCCCTCGGTACCCGCTGCTGTCCATGGCCCCTGTCATCGATGAGCTGGACGACCAGCTCAATGCGGAGGGACATAAAGTAACCATCGAGCGGTTTTTGCCGTTTTTTTTTTTTGGCAACTCGCTTATAAACTGCATGTTTATTGTTGACGACAACTGCTCAGTCAACAAGTGACTTGCCCGTCTCATGGGCGTGCCGCTTGTAGGCTGCGCAAGACAAAATACGAAAAACACCCTAAGGGCCGTTCCGAACCGGGTTCGGATCGGGTCGGGTCGCGAATACCGCCCTCTCGTTGGTCAACGAGACGGCGCGGGCTGGGGCTGTCGACGTGTTTAGCAATCTTCTCGCGATCCGACCGGGATCGTCGGGTATTTCGAGCGCGAAAGCGGGTGCGATGGACGAGTACGAGGTGCCTCTGTGGATGCTCAAG